CCTATTTTACATTTAACGGGAACATCTATGAACAAATATTTGGACTTCCCATGGGATCACTGCTCTCACCAATTTTGGTAAACGAATACATGAACAAAATAGAAGAGAACTTCAAGATGGCACCGCTACAACCAGCAGTGCACCTGTGGTACCTGGATGATTATTTCGCACTTTGTTCACATGGAAGAAAAAAACTCGAAGAGTTTTTGAAGTTTGTAAACCAGATTGATGAAAAATTCAATTCACGATGAAAGTAGAGGAAGGTAAGCGGTTACCGTTCCTGGACTTGAAGTGATTCGTTCTAATGGGACGCTTAAAGAGAAATTGTTCAGAAAGAAGTCCTATGCTGGGATAATACTCAATATCTGGTCTCATCACAATTACAGGCTAAAGATTGGAATAATGAAGAGCATGATCATCCGAAGCCTACGCCTAACGGCTGCAGAATTCTGGACGAGGAGCTGGACAAATTGACTAGGATCTTTCCCAGCAATGGCTACCCAAACGAAGTGATACAAAGAAACATACGGGCCGTGAAAAGTCGATGGCAGAACAGGGACTATGAAAGAACCGTAATGCCGATGAAGGATTCACAAAAGTAGATATGCCTACCTTCCTGCGAACTAACTCAAAAACTACGGACAACATTGAGGAAATTGAATATTCAGGTGTCTATGAAAGAAAAATCAACACTTTTCACTTGCCTACTGACGCAACATGAAAGGGTAGGCAAATTGGATTGTGTAAGAGTTAATTGTATATCATGCGGCGTGTGTAAACAGAAATAAATTGGCGAAGCAGGGAGAAAAATTTGCATACGAATCAAGGAACATCACAGACTCTGCAGGAAAATGGATACAGAAAGATGAGAATTAGCGGAACAGATCACACAGACTGGACACAAGTTTAATTGGAAGGCAACTGAAAGAAGGGCCTCATACGATGAGAACACAAGGAAATGGAAGAGTAGGGCAGCCACTGACATCCTCGGGAAAAAATTTAATGAACAGGAGTTTTAAAGAAGGCAGAGTTAGTCATAACTTTGCGAAGAAAAGTTGGGTTTCCAGGAATCTCTTTTTCTTAATTGTTGTGCTTACTTCCATTTCGAGTAAAAGTGTTTGGTATAAAGATTCGAAGGTTAATTCCACCAGAAGACGACGGCATTTTCCTCTTGACCAGCTGTCGATTGGATTTAGTGGAACATTAATGCTGACGCTGTTTCCGAAGTAATCTCTTTCGATTCTGATGAAAAGGTGCTAAGCTCTCGTCCGTCATATGACGAACATCCTCAGAGAAACGCAAGAAACGTCATTGGTATTATCGTCACGATCAAATTCAAGCTAACGAGTCAAGAAAACTCGACCTTCGAATCTCTTCACCAAAGACTTTCACTCGAAATGGAAGTAAGCCCAGTGAAAACTTTGCCTACTGCTTAAGAAAACTCACGGAAAACAAGAATACAGCAAGACCAGCAGAGAAGAAAAACCTGGATCAATGATCTATCGCTAACCGGAGGAAAAGGGATCTCGACGAGAAAAGGGGGGATGGGGAATTTCGGAAATCAAGAGAAGACGTTAGCAGTGAGTGATGTCTGTTCGAAGAAACCAGTACAACTTTGGGGTCTGGCAGTCAGCGAACTAGGCGGACGGATAATCACAACAGTCACATAAATTCGGAATTATGGCCAAAATGTACTAGAAATCCACTTGAGATCCCGCATGTGACCAGAGATAGGCATCCACAGTTTGCTCAGATAAAATGGGTTTAAGAAAGGGAGACGACCCGTGACGGCAATGCCTGATACCTGCAAGCATGGGAATCAGAGCCTAGGCGCTCTGCTCAGTGAGGTGGCAGTGTACGTGCTTTTAGAGCTTTGAGAAATAGGGCCTGGAGTAAAGTGCATACTGGGAGCGGAACCGAGCGAAATCGGTCAACCAGAAAGATAAGAAACGGACCTACGGAAACATGAAGGAGATCCAAATAGGAGGCCCGAGTCGGATTAGGCGATCGAAAGAGAAGGGGTCAGGGTGAATAGCAGGTGTGATGGGACCAAACAGCATTTGCCACAAAAAGAGCACACATTTTAACGAGTGGAATATAAACAAATGAGAAATTGTGATAGGGCGTAAGTTGGATAATAGGCTAAAGAGTAGATAGAACAGAAAGAGGAATGATAGTGTAACCGTTTTCGGCAGAAGGCTTGTCGAGGGATTGACTTCACTTGTCTCTTTTGGCGAGTTCGTAGCATGGTGCGATGCCGGCGAAACGTCTAAAAATGTACCAAGTCCACTGTCTGATGCTGGGAATTATGATAACTACTATGGCAGAGGACTTCGGACAGGGTGCGTTCTACTAAGTCGCCTTGACAATAAGACCAAGTTACGACAACAAGGTCAGCCCAGTTCAAATAAGTTAGCCCAAATTATGTATTTGTCATTATTCTAGATCCTCTCTTTCCGGAATTGGACGGTAAAAACCAGATAAATCGATGTGGAGGCTGACCAAACTAATTATGTCATCGCTTTTCGCCTTTTCTACAAAAGCTCTCCAAGACTCAGCTACGACGAAACTGGGTACCTGAAGCTGAGGGGCCAGTTTTGAAGACCGAGTCTTTTGTCCTGTCCTGGCCAGGCCATGTCTCGTACGTTGCCTTTCCCAGTCCAGCTGCACAGCTGACCAGCCTTGAGCGCAGACGATTTGCAGCAGCTAACTCGGCCGGCTCCAAACGGGCCTCCAAAGCTGCCATCATAGCACGCCATTCTGGTGCTGTGTATGGATTGTAGGCAAGAGGGTTGACGAGCTGACTGGATGGGCCACCAGAAGAGATGGTCTTTTGATCTGCTGTCTTCCGCTCCATCGGCCACCAGGGCGCCAGGAATACGGACAGGCTGGCAACTGCCGCCTCAGCCGGTTTGCCCGTCCGACAGAGGTTCAACTCAACGCGTTCAACGGGAGTCAGCAAGCTGATAATGTTCTGGTGAAGTGTACGTAGATTCAGGATCTGACGATTAGAAAGGCAAAAAAGGGTGCACTACATGCAGAATAGATAACATAGAGGGTCCAAATCGTCATTTGAAGGAGCCAAATGGAAGTGTGTCAAAGGGCAATAGGTTACGCATATTCGAGGACATGTCTTCAGGACTGAATACAACTGAATACAAAACTTCGGGAAAAATGAATATCTTTTGGGTAGTGAGAAAGGGGCTTCAAATGGGAAGTCGGAAACGTTAGAGAAGAGGAGACAAAAGACAAAATGTGAAAAGGAAATGGATGTTGAGAAATTGACTAAAAAATTTGGGCTACTGCAATTTTCGGTACATTTGAAAATGTGAATTGAGACAAGATACGGGATGGGCAGGTTTTCGAGACTCTCACAAGATGTTGATTTATAACAATAGTCATCCCAAGCC